TTGACTTGAGAAATGCAGGTTCCCTGCGTGTGGGTGTTTGATGTGCGTATCTGTGCCTCCATATTAAGGCACATGTATGATCAATCACCAATATGAATCAGGCTGATCAAAACCTGACTACACCTCGGTGTGTACCTGGGGGGTCTTGAGTTCCCCTTCTCGTGGCTATGCCGGTGCATGAAGAATTCACAAGCCTGATCAGAGGCATGGGAGTTAGGGTTCTTGAAGAAGATGGAACTTCCCACCGGCCCAGGCCGCCTGGCTGCTTGCGAATGTTTCTCGGCAAGAAACCCGGCCAGACTTACATATAAACTCCCTACTTCCTTCAAATGTTCCAATGTCTTCCGTGTATTTGTTGACATAAAGAATCCACAGCCCCAGCGCCGGTTTCCTGTTTTGTTGCGGGTAGGAGCATCAAGCTAGGGTGGGGGTGGGCGCCGGCTTTACAGCTCCTTTCGGGCAGTAGAAGGGCTGAGCTGGTCGGGTACAAAGACTTCTAGTCCTCTGAATGTCCCCGACATCGGGGTTCCCCGCCGTCCCTAAGCCTGCCAGAGCCTCTGGACAGTGACAGCGAGCTCACTCCCTAGGCGGCGTGGGGCCCCGCAGTCTAGCGGGCCGGCACCCTGGCCCGCAGCTCGTTGTGCAGGAAAGTGCTTCCTCTTTCTGGTTGATCTATTTCCAGAAACTCCTGCCTTCTGCTTCTAAGACACATTCAGGACGTTTAGAGTAAGGCCTCCTTTCAAGGTGCGGTGAAAAGACAGCGCAGTCACTGGCAGGGCAGGGCACTCTTTCTACCACGGAAACTTCAGGCTTTCAAATCACTGGGGCCTCTCGGAGCCAGGTATAAGAGGCTGAGGCTCTCCACTCACTCAAATGTAGGACCACCTGGAGGAGCCCTGGTGCCATGCTGCTGGCCACTGCTGTGAAGAAAGGTGCTTTTCACAAGAGCCCGGGGTCTGAGATCTAAAACGGGGACGCAGCCCTGAGAGGGAGAATTTCTCTGGGTATCTGCCCTCATTCCTAAAGCATTCTGTGGCCAGTGGCTTTGTGTCAGGATGGAAATCTGGAAACTTCCAGAGAACCGCTTCTCCAATGACTTGTCCTCAAAATTCACACTTGAGAGCATCTTAGAGGCAAGGTGGGATGTGTGTGTGTGTGTGTGTGTGTGTGTGTGTGTGTTTCTGGACTCTGCACTACCGTGTTAGCTTTTGACCACAACAGGACAAAGCGAATTTCTAGACTAGCCCCACCACCTTGAGCCTTTCGATACCTTATTTATTGCTTTAAATACCTTCCAAAAAAAATCAAGAATGAAAATGTGTGTGTGAGAGACTCAGGATTAGCCATTTTCCTGCCCACTGTACAGCTTTTGTCCAAGTTTCAGGACCTATTATTTCTCTTTAACAAAACAAGATACTTTTTTAACCCTGGTTGGGATAAGGAATGAGACCCTTAAAATGCCTACCACAAACAGAGCAGTCCTACAACGTGCCTTATTGCCCAAATGGTCTTTTCCAAAGAGGATTCAGAGATACTTCCCTATTTGAGATTCTTTCCCCTTCTCTCTCCTTCCTAGCTAGCTTTAGCTTTCAAGCCATTTTTGCTTTCTTTCTGGATCTTTCTTCCTTACCATTATCTCATCTGCCTAGGGTGGAAGGGAGAGGGTTAAGACATTCTGCAAATGCAGCTCATAAAGCTGCTTGGATACATTAGAAACACATGAAAATCCTGAAATACAAAGTGTCTTTAAAACCAAGCAAAGAATGTTTATCCTAATACTGAATGGATGCAGAGAGATAGCACCAGGGAATAGCTCTGGTGAGAGTAGGTAAATTTCATTGCTAATGAAAATCAAACTCGATTAATACTTGGTTTCTCTTTGTCCTTTTGTCTTCCAACCCTGGGAGCCAAGGGTTCGATGGCCCAAGCTGGCATCAAGTTCTTCACACAGAAAAACTCAGCCAAGATTTCTTTCTTCAGTGAAGGGGAAAGCCAAAACCCTGCAGGACACCCTGGCCTATGTGAAGAGGTAAAAAGACAAGGTGTTTTGGAGCTGGAGAAAGGCTCTGAAAAATCTTTGAACAAAGACCGAGCTGCAGCCACTACTCCCGGGTTTTCCCATGCTATCCTCTCCCCAGCTTCACTAAAGAAATCTGGATACACCAGGCAGAGGCTGAGAAGCAGCCTCTCCCATCTCTACCCTCCACCCCCAGCTATCTTCATGGCTCTCTTGCCCAAATGGCCACTGCTGCCTGAAGACTCTACTGGGTTTCCTGGTTTCCCCATCTTAATCCAGAGGAATTCCAAGTGGAAAAAAAAAAACTATCGAATTGATTATGTTTCTCTGAAATCCTATAAGAATGCCTAGCCAGCAGGGCAAAAAATGCAGGAGACACTCAGAAAGCTAGGTCCCACTAGCTAAGCAAGCAGGCAAATTTTAGCCTCGCCTTTGGGAAAATAGGAAGAATGTTGAGAGGGTCCTGCTTACTCTCAGCCTTCAATTGCTCCTCACCACCGCTACCACCTACTTTATGCACAGCAAGTCAATTTGGTTGCTGCTTGGAGAAGTCATATTGGAAACCACTAATGACTCTCTCATCTGTCTCAGTGAAAGAATGAGATGGGGGATTGCTTTTTCTTCAAAGTGAGAAGAAATTCCAGAAACTCAGACCCAAAATTACTCACAGAGTTCATTGGATAATCATTCCCATTTATTTGTGACTATAATTCAATATCTACATGTAGACATTTTGTAAACAGTGCCAAGATGATGATACGCCTTATAGGAAAATCACACCATATATATCAAGGTCCAAGACAAGAATAAAACAAGCAGGCTGCCTCCCTCTAAGAGGAATTTTTTTTAAAAATGACAAAGAGATATAAATCTCCCTAATTCAGGCCCCAAGTCCTTCCTTGGAGGGGGCGCCACGTGTAAGGAAGCAACTCAGAATGAGTTCAAGATGCAACCCAAAGCATTCCCCCACAGTTTCCCCCATCCCTTGCCATCCCTCCTCCCAGACAAACCTGCTTTGTGGCTTCTCGGTGAACAAGATTGAAATCTTGCCTCACCATTTTTGGAGTAGAGGGACCCAGTCGACTTTGGCAGTCTGAGGCCCTTCCTCTGGGCGAAGTGCTCCCGGCTCCAGTGAAGTGGGAGGGGGAGGGAAGAATGTGGAGCTGGCCTTGGCCGGGATGTGCAGCCGCAGCCAGCCACAGCCAGAGGTGAGCTGGCACAGACGCCGGCTGGTGGGGGCTTCCCAAGTCTTGTTTTCGTTTTTCCGGGTCTGGCTGGAAAACAGGAGAGGCTCAAAGCCGGGGCCAAGTGCAGGGCGGAAGCAGAGAAGAAGAGTCCGTAAACACCGCCCCAAAAACTCTACAAAGATAGAAGAAAAGAGGGGGGGGGACTTTGCAGCAAAACAGCCAGAGATTGGAATTTCAAAGGAAAAGAGAATTGAGAGTGAGGGGAGGTGAGCAGTGGGCCTCTGGAAGCTGCCTTGGTCTCCAGGTTTGCAGGGCAGTTTTCTCACGCTGACTTAGACTGCAACTTTCAACTTGACCTTGGCCTCCAGCCGCGTCTGACCCGTATGTAAAACTGCCCTGAAGTCCCCAGGAACCAGAGCTCCGAACCCTACTTTGTCTCTTTGTTACTGAGAATTTTACAATGCCACTTGGAGGGAGGAAGGGGTGGGGGACGAAAGGGCCGGAAAGCAACACAAAAATTAAGTCTTTGAGGCTGGTTCCGTAGTCTCCAAATGGCCAGTGAGGGAGAAGGTAAACTGGGGGCAAATCAATATTTACCCAGAACTGCTAAAAAGTCAAGAGGGAAAGGGCGCACTAGGTGTGGGGGAGGACTGAGGGGGTCCAGGAAGGTTTTATTGGGCGACACTTACATTAGTCAGAGCAAACCTGGAATCTAGGCAGATAAAAGTCTGAGTCCAGTCTCATTGGTAGGACTGCAGAAAGTCCAGAGGGCTTAGAGAGCAGACTCACAGGGTGGTATGTGCAGTGTCCTGCACTCAGGACAGTGCACCAGCTGGAACCAGAGGGCAGATCCAAGTCTGGCTGCTCACCAGTATGCTTTGGAAGCAAGTGAGTCCAATACTCCCCTCCAGCTGACATGTCCTGAATGCACCCACTTTCACTTTGAACACTTGTTCTCGTTCTGGGTCCCCAGTTGCACAATCAGAAGTAGAAATATGTGGCTTCAAAGCAACAGGACCACCAGAATGCCTGTTGAAAACATTGTGGCTGCAGGCTGCAAGAGGAGTCACTGCTTGGCTTTTCCAGTACCAACACCCCACCCCACTACTCCCTGGAAGGGTTTCATTTCCCAGGCACTGAGCAAAGACTTTCCTGGCTGGTTCTTGGTCATCAGTTGTCCTCTGCTAGCTGGAGCTCCTACTTGGGGCAAAGGCATAAAGTGACTTTCAAAATCCCCATCCCCCCCAAAAAATGGAATGCAATTGTGGGTTTGAGGATTGCCTGGGGAATCGGGTCCACCCAGTTTCTATGGATCAGCTTGTGTGAGGTCCCAGGACTGGGGCTGGAGTCCCCGCCAGCAGTCCAGCTGGGGCCTGTTTCTCTTAAGCACAGTCAGGAAAAGCCAACCCGACTGATGAGACAAGAGCATGAGTGAATGGTGTTTTCTCTCTTCAAAGTCTCTGAAGGATGAGAAGGACTGCTATTAGATTAAACCGAGGAAGGAGCTACATACGTAAGTGTGTAAATGTGAATATGTGGGTCAGTGTACACTCAAGTGTATGTGTGTTGGGTGTGTGTGTGTGTGTGTGTGTGTGTGTTGGCTGAGTTGTTCTTAGTCTAGGGGCCTAAATTCGAGTGTATGAAACTGCTCACTAACACTGGACAGGGGAAGGAAACAGCTCTTAGATGCAGTCCAAACTTTCCAATGGTATGTCCTGGGATGTTCCACGAGAGCCAACAAGAAGACAATGTTCTGTTGTCCTTGATCCCCTGCAAAGAAAGCCAAGCAGCGAGCGATGCGGTCGAAGAAGCTGAAAGCGGTGATGTCCATCCTAAGGGTCGCGCTGCGAAAAGCCCAGCAGTCACCTGGAAAGAAAGCAGCCCCAGAGGCCCAGGGAAACACTCAGCCTGACTTAGGGCTGGCCCGGTCCTCACCAATGTCTCATCCCTGACCACTGCAGGATTTACCTGTCTGCTCTCAGGTCGTACCCCAACCGCGCACCCACGGCCCCTCCCCGCCTCGAATCTCCACGAGGATACGAGAAGACACCGAGCTGCAAGTGGGCTACCCCGTCCTCCCTGCCGCACCCGCCCCATCCTCTGCCCCCACCCGCCTCCCTCCTCGCCTCTCCCCTGGGTGAACTGTGCCTGGCCGCGCGGCGGGCGCTGGCGCTGGCGCTGGCGCTGGGGACAGCGCG